GATTTTTCGGGCGGCGGGGGGGGGGGGGGGGAAGGTACAAAAAAAATTCCTGTCCCATCCATCGCTGTCACAAAGTTTGCTGTTGGCAAGTCTGTGCCCTCTGTAGCAATTTCTATTTAAAGCATGATTCAGGGGGACAAAAAACTTGTTTTCAAGCTACACCATGCTCATGAAAGCATTCCCAAGGGACAATTCAACTTGAAAATCAGGCATGTGCTCCCAGTGGACATTGTTTCAAAGCAAGGATGGTCAAAATCATGTTTCTGTCGCTCTTTCCCCCACCACATTTCCCCAATTCATCCATAAAACAGTTTTCCCCAACAATAATATAATGGTGAATAAGCACTTCTCAAAGCCTCCAGGAGCAGGACTTCACCTTCTGAATAGGTCATAATGGTCTTCTTCAGTGTTTAGCACCAGAAAATACAAATTAGCTCAAATTGGAAGCAGATGTCTAGCTAATTCCTTTAAAAAAGAATTTTGATGGTTCCAATTCTCCAGTCCTTCGTGGAGGATTCTGTTGCAGAGTTTTGAATTTCTGTTAAATTTCTCTATCTGTGCAGCGGAAGTACAGGGACTCACAAAGTAGAATGAGCTTCAAGTTTCCCGGTGTAGTCTACCCTTTTTCTTCTCATTAACTGGCACTTACAGTCTCAACAACTCACTCTGAGACATTAATTGGAGAAAGAATCAAAGGTTTCATTTACTTACAGTTGTGAACAGATTTAATAGCACACTAAAAAAAATGACTGCTTGCAGCAACAGGCCTCAAGAGACTGGCAGCTTCAACAGACTGATTAACCCCAACAGACAAAGGAGAAGGGGGGGAAAATCTCATAGCAGACACACATCACTCTCTTTGAATTCAGAGGCAGAGAAGGAACCATGAGCTAGTCCTGGACAGATGGGCAGTGATCCCAGTCCAGAAGGGTCCCTCCCAGCCACATCTACTGGACACAGCATGCCAGGCTGAAAAACTCTAACAGATTCCAGGGGCAGAAAGTTGGCCCAAACCCATCAAAGCTGTCCACCCCACTTTAAAAAAGAAATAGGTGCAAGCTTTGCAGAAAATTACCAAAATTCGGAGAGACAGTGGCTTAAGTGGTAGTGGTGGCGTCTGATCTCCAGTAAGTTCATGAAGACAAAAATTAGACTTTGCTCACAGCCGTTGTCTCCCACTGTTCAGAAGCCACTAAGCCTCCATGTTAATATTGAGTCATGCTGTCCCTGGAGTAAAACAGTGATCCTCTCGGTCAGTGACTTTCTTAATCACTTTCTCTCTTGCTATACACTCCCCCTAACCTCACAGCAACTCAAAGTTCACATTCCAAGGCCAAAAGAGATTTTTTTTTTCCTGGCAATGCGGATGGCAAAGCAGTATTAAAACACAACTGCTCTCTCTGGCTTCTTCTTTTTTCAGATTATATTTCCAGAACACAGTGAGTGTTAACACATCAATTCATTTTCAGTAGACAAGAGGGTAAACTCTTAAGATCACAAATGTTGAGCCTTCTTTGTGGCTGATGGACAGATTTCGCCTTTGCCTCTCATCCCTCTCGCCTAACAAGGAGACACAATTGCTACGGCGCTGCCGTCTCCTTTCATGATCACAACAGCAATAAAGCACATAAATGCCTTTTTAAATAATTCCACACGCTTATTCCTCCTGTCCTATAGGCAGCTCAGAGTCCACGTGTGTATATGGCCTGAACCCTGGCTTCTCTCTGTGCACAAATCGCTGTGTAGAGTCTTAACCTGCCCAATATGAAGACAGGGTTTTCAGATCTCATCCCCCAAAGTGTTTTCCAATGACTCCAAAGGACGTGACAAAGAGGAGTAGACCACCTTGCCTCTGAACACATGCAGAGGGCGTGACGATTCTTCCTGAGCTACAAGATAGCCGACTCTCTCACAGATCTGGAACCAGGGTCACAAATTTCATGTCTGAGCTCTGATGCCTTGGTTTTTAGAATCCAGACACTTTTTGGTTTGCTCAGTTGCATCCCCCCCACTTTCTAAATATTCATAAGGACTAGCTTACCCGTTGGCGCTCAGATGAACGCTGGACTATTTTATGTTCATGCAATTGTTCAATGCATCTGGCCAGTTGTCACGACCACATCCATCGGGGCTGTTCCTCGCAAGCATGCGATCATTCATTCCCCTCTTTTGCTGATAAAAGAAACTCTGGCAGGGAGGGAATCCTTGAACCCTCCACGCCCACGGCTCTCTCAGCCAAAGGGGAGTGAACTCTCCGCAGCCACAACCTTTGGGCCCCATCGTTTATTGACTCGAAACGTGTGGTGTCGCCTGCATGTTGCCTACAAATGAACAAATTCCCAAATTAAAAAACCAACAACCAACACTGGATGAACAGGTTGAATGAATGAGGAATGTAATGCTTATCACCAATGGTCACCACAACAAGGGGGGCACAGAAAGTACCCCCCCCAAAACAACGTGGGGACTGTGAGCAGCTTTGGGTATCCCCTGAGCAATGACAGCATCCTCTCAGCTGATCCTTCCCCTTGGAAAGCACCATTGATTTGCTCCTGACAGGACCAAACAAGAAGCACAACAAGGATCTGGCCAGCTCAACAAAGGGGTGTAGCTGAATCACACTAGATTCTTGTTAGGAAAAGTGATCTTAAGAATTAGATCCGTGGTCCTCAACCTTGGGTAATTTAGATGTTCTTGGACTGTGACTGCCAGGAACCCTGGCCAGCACAGCTGGTTGTGAAGGCTTCTGGGAATTGCAGTCCAAGAACAAACACCAGGGTGACCCAAGGTTAGGAATCACTGAATTAGATGATAGTAGACCAAATGTCTCTAGCATAAGGCATGTCAAGAGTTGAAATATCGGTGATGGAAAAGAGAGTTTTATGTTTTTGGGAGCCTTGGGACAGAGAGAGGAAGGCTTTGATAGTAAAAAAATTGGCTGCCAGCGGTTCCAGAGTAACTTTACACAACAGGGCATGGTCCACTATTGGGGAATCATCAGGATCTGGAAAGTGACTTACTTTCCAGATACTAACCAGAATCTGGAAAGTTACAACTCTCAATATCTCCCAGACAGCACGGCCAGTAGTCATACAGTCTGGAGAATACTGGGAGCTGTACTGCGAAGAAGGAACTTTTCAAATTCTAGGATCCGCATGAGCCTACAAGCTAATCCTCCAGCTTATGACACAGTTGGTGTCCTCTTACTTTGCTATCTAAATGACTGGTCCTCATGAAGAGGAATACATCATGGCTAAGCCAGATGATAACAATTTGCATGTCATTAGAAGCAAGTTTATGCTCACATGAGATTTCTTCAGTTCCTCAACAAGTGAGTTCCTTTTCATTGTATTAATGGTCATCAGGACACCACTTGCAAGTCTGATTGCTCGGGCACTGATATTTGAATGGAGACATTGAAAAAGCAGGAAATACACATTTTTCTTAACGTGTGATCGATCTCTTGATGGGAGAGAGCTAGTCCTATGATTTTTACCTCACAGGCTGTGACAATGTGTGAGAAGGGTCACTAAAACTCCACTTCTAAGGCTTCTTAGAAGCAATTACATTTTTTTTTGCACCATTATTCTATTTATCAACGCTTGTTCTGTACCTAATCAGACAGACCATGTGTCGCAGAGACCATTGCCGATAACAGGCTTTCCCAAACTGACTAAAAGTCAGGGGCTGCTGAGAATTGTAGTAGTCCAGTGTGTCTGGTGGGTAAAAGCTTGGACTGTAGTTCCCATCATCCCCAACCATTAGCCATGTTCGCTAGGATTCTTGTGAGAGAATTCAGTAACACTGGAAGGACCACAGATTCTTGCTCCTTCTTACTTATGAAGACCCTAATTGGGTTTTCAAGGCCTGTGAGAAGCTCAAGGAGTGGCTTACCATGCCCACGTCTGCTTCCACACTTACACCCCCACCCCCCATCACACCCACCCACCCCCCCCCGCTTCCATAGTCAAGCAAG